TTTCCACTTTATTTTCAGTTTCTGGGCCACGTGTGATAATGTCCCAAGCTTTTTATTTAAATATAGCACACAAGGAATTTTGTGCTTCTTAATTATTCATAATTAGTGTAACATGAAGTTTGATTCTCTGTTGGTGTGGCTGGAGGATATAGACAAATTCTTGAACCGAGGTTGTTACATGTCCTTCATCCAACATGTCTGAACTCTATCCCCAGAACAGGTTCAGCAAACTGGACAGATCCTTCAAGTTTAGAACTCAGACTGCCTTTACCACCCTATTGACATGGAAGCCACCAACCACCAATGCTGAAAACATATAGTTGCATAGTGCCATTCATTTTGGGTGAGAGTGACCTATTTTAGTTTGGCTTCTCTCCTGCATTTGAGAGAAAGGCTGCCAAGATTAGATAGAAGAATTTCAGTCCTGGATTCCCTCAGTATTTTGTAGAATTGATTATTCTGCTCTTCACATATAAATTTCTGGGTTGCATGCTAATGGCAAAAAGTTTCTAGTGCTTCACTCTTTGGAATTTGGCTTATTCACAGGGTCCCATAATTTCCACCTTATCTTCAATTTCCATGAAAATTTTCAGGGCTTCGTGTAAAACTTTGTTGTCATCAACATCCACTTTTATCTCTCCTTTTAAATAAACCCAGGTAAAGTATTGGAGCTTCTGAAACAGGTGCCTCCCCTATTGTTTTAAGAGAGAATGTAAACTAGATTTCTCACTGTCAGTCATACTGATGGCAAGTAAAGATTTAATATGTACAAAACAACCATTTGCCGGATGTTGTATATATTTAAATTTGTGTATGCCTCATGTTAGGCTTGCATGTGGAGATCCCTAGATTGGAGCCATTTTGTTCTAAAAGCTATTTTCCCCAATTTGTTCTGAAATGACAAGTACAGACAAATGGCAGAATGCTCTCAGCTCACCCACTTTGTAACCAATTCAGACAATTTGTGTAAAACAGAAGGTTGGAAATCTTCCTGCTATTTATATGATGGATTAAGCATAAGCTTAATTCAACAAATAATGAGCTTCTCAGAAGTGCAATATGCCTTGCCTGTTTGATATACTTATAGAATTTTACTGCTATCAATTCATAATTATTTCCTATCAGCTGTCTAAAGGCCAAAATATGAATTTAAAAAAGATTCTACACTGAAGAACCCTTCATTTTGTATAGCTCATTTTCACAGGAGAAATTTCCATCATTTCCAAGAGTGAATATTTCTTAATCAATATACTGCAGTTCTAAAAAGTGAGTATTTTATTCTCCTGTCAGAAGTCATTTGGTGCATGACCAATATTCAGTATGATGACTTTCTTCTCTATTTTTATGATTGCCTTAGACATGGCTGTAATAATCACTTATCTTCAACTTGTCTTTTTCTCCTTTCCCCTATAACTCTTTAAAGTTATTTTACTTGCACCTTGGAACATTTAAATTCAAATGGCAATGACTTGCTAAGGGAAATATGTGCCCCCAAACCACAGCTGTTAGGGATGATTCATGTGGATATTAGTTTAATATTTAATCTGTTTTATTCTCAGATTTATTCTGTTTTCTGCACATTTTAACCATTTCTATAATTATGTTATTGAACCATGCACAAAGTTTCTTCTCCTCCTTTTTTTATCATGGGGGGAAAGGAACTATTATGATGCTATGCAGAGACAGAGAGTCTCTGACAGAATTGTTAGCTTACCACAAACCTGCATCCCAAGTTTATTTTATGAAGAGCTGGCAAATGTAAAAATAGTCAAGGGTTTAAAAGGTCACCTCTCCCCTCCACTAGGGCTTTCCAAGGCACATTCCTGTAAAGAAAAAAAAAAGCGGGAAGAGGTGCCAACATAAAGCATATGCACTGTGTGCAAATAGTCTCTGGTTCAGGGACATTTCCAGGTACTCCTGGAGTTTCTACCAAGCAATGATCTTACTTAATATAAGAGCTGTCCCTGTTCCAAAAATAATACCCGTCCACTGAAATATCTTGTCTGAAAACTTCTACATGAGTGGGGTAGGGGAGATATTTAAGACTGTCTACAATGCAAGGAAAAACTCAACTTGTGGAGCAGAGTAAAATGGCTATACATTTTTAATGGAAATGATGCCAGCATGATGTAGTGCTTTGTGTGTTGAACTATGACTCCAGAGACTAGGGTTCAATTCCCAGTTTGGCCATGAATCTCACTGGACAAGTCACATGCTCTCAGAATCAGGGGAAGGCAATGACAAACCTCTAAACAAATCTTGCCAAGAAAACTCCACAATAGATTTGCCTTAGGATCACTGCTAGTCAAAAATGACTGGAAGACACACAACAACAATAACAACAACAACGGTGGTGGCGAAGTGTATTTTGGGTTGGGAATTGCCCTGAAACACAACTGAGGATCAAGTTTAGACCTTGAAAAGAATGTATATTCCCTCCAGTAAACTTTTCCCCTTTCAGTAGAGTTTCCTCAGTGATCAGTCTGGACTTAGAAATTAAACCTGTAAAATACAATGAGATCCAAAATCCTCAAAACAGTGATAGCTTTTTGGGGCAAATTAAAAAGCACAGAATACATCATGCAAGCTTTAAAAGCTTCATTGGCTTCTTAATCAAACAAAGTGCCTTTACAGACTACCAGAAATAATGCAGCTTGAGGCCATTTTAACTGTCCTGGCTCAGTGCTAGGGAATCATGGGAATTGTATTTTTTGGGGGGGAACATTGAGCCTTCTCTGTCAGAGAGCTCTGGTGCCACAATAAACTACAGTTCCCATGATTCCTTAGCCAGGACAGTTAAAGTGGCCTCCCAAGCTGCATTATTTCTGGCAGTCTGTAAAGGCCCAAAGATGTTTAAAATCAAACAGGAGACAAAAACTGGCAATCACAAACCTACATTTTGTCTCAAATGTTACTTCTCTTGTCAGTTGGTCTGGAGAGATATCAATGCACACAGATGCCACCTCTCTTCTTGGCCATGTGGGGAGATAGGGCAAAGCAGTAAAAGACAGTCAATAAAATTTCAAATCCATTATCAGCAGCAAAATAACTTCCATTGAGAAATTAAACCTATGTTTATATTCTACTGATGAAAAACAAATTAAAGTATGCATTTATCTCGCCATGGTTGTCCCCAGCAGATGGACCAGGGACTTGTGCCCATAAGATGACAATTATCACTATCCAGCAGTGAATAATAATGTTACAGCCTTTTCTTCTCCAAATCAGTCTCTCTCTCTCTCTCTCTCTCTCTGTGTGTGTGTGTGTGTGTGTGTGTAGAGAAACCATTTATCCATAAATTTCTGAAAAGACATCCAAATAAGGGCCCATGAAGAACAGGTGTTCGTGCTGCATGTTTAAATGTTGTAACATTTATGCTGGTTGGATAAAATGGGTGAGACTTACATGTGATTCATTTTGCAGTACAAATTTCCCAACCTTTACCCATTTTTTTCATATATGGAATGGACAAAACATGATATCAAAAACTTTTTAATGTATGACAAAAAGCAACTGATAAATCAGTCCTTCCCTAGCTCAAGGTTCATCCCTAGTGACATTCTTGTTTGCTTTGGGAAATGAAACTGTGTCAAACCAACACTTTGTATCAGTTTATACGGAATGGAATTAGCACATCAGAGATATCTCTCAGAGTAGTTTGACTATAAAAAAGTAGCCTGACACCACTTTAAGTTCTATAGCTCCATCATATGGAATCCTGGGATTTGTAGTAGTTAGCCTTCTCTGCCAGACTGTGCTGCTGCCTCTCAACACTACAAATCCTAGGATTATGTAGGATGGATCCATGGCAATTAAAGTGGTGTCAAACTGCATTGTTTCTAAATGCTGAGGTACACCAAGTTTGTCAAAGATAGTTTCACACACACATAACCTTCAATCAAAAATTGTACTAGATCAGATTTCATAAGTTAAAAAAACAAATAAGGCAGCCTCTGTTCACCAGTTTACAGTCTAAAAGATATAACACCAAAGAAAAAATGGTGGAATTGGCATGTATATTATTTAAACATAAATTCTACATATGCTTATGCATACACTTAGTATGAGCCTGCTATTTGTATATGTACACCAGAAGCCCCCCCCCCTTTTTTTTTTTTTTTTTTTGTTACAATGCATTTGCCCTTTCATCTAAACATTGTACTTTGATAATAAGCAGGCTTCATCTCACAGGAATATAATATTTTTAACCCTGTGAGCTGGTAGTAATATGCTTAACATGAAGCTGTCTTCTTGTTCTGCATAGACTCCAAAACAGTCTTCAACAACACAACAGATTTCTCTGTGTTATGTATTTATTCATATTCTTGTGACTATGAAACTGATAGATTATAGCCCAGTTCATCTTGGATTGCTTCATCTCAGTGTTTGAGACAAAATGATCTGTACAGTGTCTATTTCACTTTATTTCGTACTTCGCTCAAAAAATTCTAATAATCAGATTCTAACATTGACAGTGAGAATTATCTGTTCAAATAGAGGGATTCTGTTTAGATTCCTATGTATTTTATTTATATTCAAGAAATTCAAATGACCAATTCCAGTATAAAATAATTTAATAAATATTGAGAACCACAATAATGTACTACAATAGTTCCATGTTGGCCTAGTACAAGATAGGGAATGAACAAGAAACTAAGCCCCTTAGAACTTAGAAAATTACTTTTTGCAAACAAATCATTCCTCTATTTGTTATATATTGTTGGACATTGGCACGTAATTCATAATTGTTACTTACTACATCACATTGCTGGCTGCATTCATTACTTTTTCATTACTATACTTCACTTAAACAAATAATAAGATAAAAGAAACTTGAAAACTTCCAGTCAAAATGTCTCTAAAACCCATCAAAATTACTTTCAAATGTAAGGGAAGGCTAGAAAACTACACCAGTAGAGTAATTTCATCTTGACCTTTGAAAAGTAACTGCATTACATCCTTGTTAGCCAAAGGGGAGCATATATCATGCTAAGTTGACACAAAACATAGTAATACCATGCAAGACTGTCCTCTCCATGCAAGTTGTTTGCTCCTCACTGCTTCACTTGCTTTTTCTTTTGTTTTAATTCCCACAGTTTAGACACATTCCTAAGACCATTTCTCAGTGCCAGACTCTGGTAATGTTCTTCCTTGGAATGTGGCCTTGATCATAGGTGAAACAGCTCTGGAAATCCAGGATTGGTCACACAAGAAGCATATAAACCTGGGATCAAGGAAATAGAACCCTTCTGCAGAGTGCTGAATTTTGTGCGTGGTGGCTCCAGAGGGCAATTTCACTGCTGCCACTTCATTGTGATGGTGGCAAATGTTCTTCAGTATTGAATAGCATTTGCTGAAGCAACCTTAAAGTTTAAAGTTTAATTATTCTCATTCAAAGCAAAAGATCAGTGGCACAAATCATGTTTTGGGCTACCTCACTTCATTCAGGTCACACACACACACACACACCCATTATAATATGGGCTTTAGAAGAAAGATGTTCATGACCATAAAGGCCCAGGAGGTGAGGAGGAATGATTTGTGCTCTCTTTCATCCATCTAGTCACGGATCATTGATGAGCAAGCTTTGTTCTTCTGAGGAAGCTGCTGCTGGAACTGGAACTTTGACAATTATAATTTGACCAATTTTGTAAATGTCAGTAAACAAAGCAAAGGGAGAGTTTAAAAAACAAACAAACCTATATCCTACTGAAAAAACTATACCAAGGTTTTGTAACATAGTAGTAGTAATTTTATTTGGTCATTGACCAATATAACAATTGATAAAATAATAATTGCACAATACAGTTATTAAAAATTGTTAAACAATTTCAAATAAAAATTCAAAATCACTTATAACCATGTCAGTTTCTGTCAACCACTTGGGGATGTAATTTGCATACAATGTAGCAGAATTTTGCTACCTTGTGAACAACATTTAGTTCCTAATTGTCCAGAAGATAACATAAATAAAAGGTGTCAGTGTGAGCAAGGTATTTATTAAGGAGAGGAGTAATCAGC